TTCCCTACATTCCTCAGTACATGAATCACTTGGACTTCCTGTTTCCACAAGGCATTTCCTGTTCAGCCTCATAGAATCAGTTTTCTGTAGAACAGCAGGAACCTGACAAAGAACTGACTTAAATAAACAGTCTACTGTTGCCTTCAAAGTTGTTTGCATTTCATAACATCAAAGGACATAGTCCTTCTGAAGGTGCATTATGTACAAGTAGATTCTTTTGTTAAACCTAACTTTCCTAATTTTTTATTTGCCAAAATAGTATGGTATATGCCGTGTCATTATGGAATTATATTAAAGAGATCCTAGTGACAATGATTATCAAACATGATACACCTTCTTCTTTTAAACACGATTTTGACTTCATATCAGATAATAATCACACTGTTACTATGTTTTCCACAACTGTAGATACAATACAGTATCTGATTGGACCATAATGCTGCACATTACTTCTTGCCAACATTTGCATCTGCTTCATTTGATCTTTTTCAATAAACAATGTCATCAAATAACACAGGATAAAAATGAAATGAGCAGTACTAGGTGAGACATAATGTAATATTTAAAATACTGCTGTGCTGTACTTTGCATCTATATATTTAAAACCATCTCTATTCCTAAAATTTTCAGTTGCAATCTATACAATAACCTAGGACTACTGGCATAGTAACCAGAACATTTCACTTAACAGAAAAGAGAGAGGAAGGAAGGGCTGACTACCTTTAACAGGGTTCAAGACTGTAGTATGATACATTATGTACAACAATGTGAAAATTGAATTCTGCATATCAAAAAAATCAAGAACTAATAGAATGTTTCACTGACCAGACTGGGAAACTATATCCAGCAGTCACTGATCTCAACAGATAAACTAAAAACAACAGTGATTTCGTTTTCCTTAGAAGTAATTGGTGGGGCAGGCTTTGGGATGAATTAAAACCCTATTACTTGGATACTGATGTGGTATAATTTTAGTGTAACAGGTATTTCCTTACCAGTAGAGTTTCAATGAAACCTTGATATCTATATAGAGATCAGTATATAGAAAGATCTATATATAGATATATCTGCATTAGAATCCTTAAACACTAAAGTCAAATCATTCAGAGATATAATCGGATAGGAAATTATATCCATTTACCAAAACCTGCAATGCATTTCATATTCAGATAATGACTTTAATTACAAATCCTGGAGCTAAATCTTTGCCTATTACCTGTTGCATAAAAGCAGCCTGCTCCCCAGATTCCATTTCCTGGATCTGAGCATCTTCATCACTGTCCACTGGTTCCTCCTTGACCTTCACAGCCCCAACTTGTCCCAATGTGTCATCCACACAAGCACTGCTGTCACTCCTAGTGCTGTTGCCACTAGAGGGTGCTCTGTCTTCCTGCATCGCCTGGTCCCCCTGAAGCTCTTCCTCCGCTTCCTCGAGGTGACTGCCTGGTTGCTTCAGTTGTTCAATAGATTTCGAAAGCAGCTAGAAGAGAGTGTTCAGGGGTTCAAAATTCAATAGTTCTTGGTGGTAACAGAGCAGCAATATACACTTTGATTTCTTATGACTCTACTTCAGTACACTCTGATGTCTAATCTCTGAACATTCGTTTCAGAATGAATTTGTATGCAACAAACTTCCTCAGTAGCACTAAATCTGATGCAGTCCCATCAATTCCATATTGTATTGGTGTCCTAGACAGGGAATGAAGTCTCTAAGTGGTTTTTAAAGATACATCACTCTTTTGGGAAAAAGTAAATAATAAAAACTTTTTCTGTGGAAACCACAAAACTTTCACAATCTCATTTTCCAACAAATGGCAACCACTGTAAAAGACAGAAGCACAAATGCTAAGAATTCTTCTTGCCTATTAATTTTCCTATACCTAAATGGTCAAATGATAAAAGACCTTCATATATACTTCTAAAACATGGATATACTGATTTTGAAATCCTAAACTTTAAAAAGATGTGGAATTAAAAAAAAAATTGACAGCACTAAAAATGTTTTATAAACATATCCAAATGTAAATTAAATAACAGGAAAGAAACAAGGAATTCTTTTTAATTTGAAAATTATTATTTAGACCTTTTATTTTGTAAATTAAATCATACTTAATCTTCAGAAGTGTATGAATTATAATCAGAAAAATAACTGACAGCACACCTAACTTAAACAATAGCAAAATGCCATAGTATAAAAGCTCAGTATATGGGGAAAATTTCTCAAGATGATTCCATCTCGTGTAGGCTTTTTGTTTTATTTGACAAGGACCCTATTGACTGATCATCAACTGAAGATCTTGAACTGTGTTTTCAAGAGTGGTTAGAATTTTCTGCTGAGTCAGTGCCCATGTAAGCAACACACCGATTATTATAATGAGCAGCACGGTTAGAATGCCACCACAAAAATCATGAATACAGATTTTTCTATGAAAAATTCAAATTTACCTCCCACTCACACCTAACTATGTTTTAAAAACTAAACACATACTGTAGAGTTAGAATACATAGGAACTCAAACTTTGCAGGGTGTCTCTAACCTCTTAAGATATTCCTCCAATGCCCTGCATACGCTGACAAAGCCTTTCAATTTCACTGTAGTAGAATTATCTTGGGAGTTTTCATTCATTTGTTCAACAAATATTTACTGAGTGCCAACTATGTTGAAGACACCCTGCTAGGCACTGGGAAAACAGCCACTGCCCTGCCCTCATGGAGCTTATAGTTTAGAGTGTTAGAAAGGCACCAAACAGATACATAAATTTGTTCTTCTTTTCAAGTGTGGTAAATGAAAAAAAAAGAAACACAGGGTGTTAAAAGAAAACAACACACTACTTGGTATAGGAGGGGAAGTGTGGAGTATTAAGGAAGGTTTCACTGAGGAAGGGCTATGTTTAGGCTGAGACATGAAAGATGAAGGACGGTCAGGAGTCGTTGGGTGTGTGTAAGGAGTGGAAATCAGGAGCACTTCTGGCAGAAGGCATAGTGTGTGGATTGAAAGAGGAGCACTGTGCATTTGAGCCATTGAAAGGCCAGTGGGGTTTGAGCACAGGAAGACAGGGAGAGAAAGCTGGAAGACGATTTTGGAGAGGGTAACACAGTTTATAATATATTTGGGTTGTGAATAAGCTTCTAGAGAAATAAGATATAACTTAGGATAAACCATATATAAGACCTAAACATCACTAATCCTAAACTAGACATGATCAAGAGAAGAGAATACATACCAATCAAAACTCATATCTAATGAAGAAGGTAAACTTAAATATTAATTTCCTTCGTGCCTACAATCTAATGTCTATTGTCCCTGGACAGTTAGTATAAGGAGAACATTCATCCCACCATGTTTTAAACGTTTTTAAGTACTTTTTAGGAAACTATCTGCAGGACTTTTGTACCAATCATGAACACTTATCAGCTCTTCTTGTCTTAAATACATAATAACTTGAACACTGCTGAGATTTTGGAGGAAAGAGACAATGTAATATTCCTGGACTCTGACTACACAATTGTAAAATTCCATTTAATTGGCTAGGGAAAAAAAAACATCTAACACCACAGAAAACAAGCAGGGTTTTAATTGAAAAGCTCCAGTTTTAGCTGGGACACCAGGGATAAGAACATTCGGTGACAAACACCCACTCATTTTTTCAGAGAGAGAGAGAGAGAGAGAGAGAGACAGAGAAAGAGACAGAGAGAGAAAGAGAGAGAGACAGAGAGGTCATCAGCCAGGCCTGCAACTTTGACCTCCATCACTCACCTAGGATGACATACAAGAGCAGGTTAGAGGATTTTGGGGGGAGAAGAGATTTACTTAGAAAAAGTACTAGTCAGGTGAAGGAGGCTGCAAGAGCCCCTCAGAGAGACTATCTGCCAGAAGACTGCAGCAGTTCATCTTACGGATGGATGTACTGAGCTGCAGAAAGTCCCCCTCTTGCTACCAAAGCTTCGCTGGAAAGGTTCACGGGGGCTATAGCTCATGAGAGCTGATGGGCCAAGGATACCGATGGGTCAAAGAGACGCCTCCACAAGGAGGTCAAACGATCCTGCCCATAAGAGCCTCTGTGAGGGCAAAAGAAAAGAAACTCTATGCGATGTGTGGCCACAGGACAGGAACTAAAGGCCATTCATGAAAGGTCAGCCAGAGACCACATGACCAGTGTCCAGGAAATGCCACGTCAAAAGTTCCTGCTGGGCTTCCCTTGTGGCACAGTGGTTGAGAGTCCGCCTGCCGATGCAGGGGACACGGGTTCATGCCCCGGTCCCGGAAGATCCCACATGTAGCGGAGGCGCTGGGCCCGTGAGCCATGGCCGCTGAGCCTGCGCGCCTGGAGCCTGTGCTCCGCAACGGGAGAGGCCACAACAGTGAGAGGCCCGCGTACCGCAAAA